CGAGCTGGAGCAGTTGTTTGTCATGGGAGGAGAACGAGGAACATAGGACGGCTGTGTCGACACCGCGGGTTCGATTCTCGTGTAATGACCATTGGATGGTGCGGGAGGGCTGTCAGCCCATGGATAGGTGCTGGACGAGAGGTTCAGGCTTCAAAAGACACTGTTGTTAGCTTGGCATTCGTCAATGGGCTCCGTTGGGGCCTATCTTGTCTTACCTAGAGATGGGATAAAGGTTACCCGCCAGCCTGCCGCCATTGTATGGCTCGGAGAAGAGGCTACACTCGTGTTAGTCAACTTGGGTTCTCGTAATTGGCTGGTGATGATCATTTCGCACCTGCGAGGCGGGTTCCAGTGGCCGTTGGAGGCGGAAGGCATGTTGTAAGCAAATCCTGGCTGGGCCATGTTTTCAGGGCTCATAATGTAACGGAATACGACCGGGAGTAGTTGGATAAACAGACAACAAGCTGAAACCAGAACAGTATATATATGCCTGCTTTTAGAAAAACAGAACAGCAAGGGGAGAGAATGCAGAAAATTCAAGTTAGGCAAAAGGGAACGCAAATGAGTTCAAAACAGCACTGGTTGAAGCCTGTAGAGTCCGGCAAATGCAAATCCAGAGAGCACCTTGGGCATTGGTCCTATTGCGAGCAATCCAAGAGGGGTTTTCCAAAGCTTCCCGAAGGCAGATCCAAGGGGAAAGCGGTATTCCGAGGAAGATGAAGGTCTGGTCCTTTGGGTCTCTCTCACAAGGTGAGCTATAGCTATAGGCGGTGTGTTGGAACAGCCAAGGCGACCAATCCAGAAAGGCCAACTGCAAACTGGGCTGTAGGTCCCTGGGGGTATGTAAGTTGTATCAGGCACTAAATTCAGTGCGAAGGCCCGAATCGTCCTTGAGGATCCAATCTTCCAGGCAATAGAGGAATAGACACTGCTCCTCTAGGCAAGATAGACCTGTTAGACAAATGCTTCGTCAGCCCGGAATGGACACGCTTTATGTACTATGCATGATCAAGCTCACTGGCAGTTGAGCACTCGTTAGTCCCGTCAGGGCAGAGCAGGGCAGCCCCGGTCTCAGTCGATCACTAGCGATGCTCGGGTTGGCATTGAGAAGCGCGAGGAACCCGCCGGAAAAAAGAACAAAGAGAGGGAGGAGAGAGGTGCGGGAGGCAAATCGACAGGCACAGCCAAGCTTCGGTGCGGTGCGTCGTGGCCTCTTGTTTCGTCCCAAGTAATCGGGCGCCTACGACTAGATCCGGGGTCAACGGGCCCGCGCTTGTGAGGCAAGGGGAAGCTCTTCATACGTGGACTCGTACTTGTAATGTGTTCTTCTGCGTGCTTCTCTGCTATGCTATTAGATAGTAGTTGTGTGCCGGTGGAGCGCGTTGTGGACGGCGGGAGACGTCGGTGGGACGAGGTGCCGTATCAAGGTCAAGGGTGCGAGCCGAGAGCTAAGGAACGCTGCAACCAATCTGTGGCTTACAGCAAATGATAGTACCAGAGTGGCAAACTCCCGAGGCTGTTTCATGACGCGGGTGATGCTCGCCAACCTGCTTTTTGGAGGAGGAGGAAGCAAAGTTGATTCATGGATCTTGTCGCCTTGCAGGACCAGGACCTTGAGGAGCGAAGCACACGATCGTGGGGTAAGGGCAGGCTTTTGGTTGGGCTCCGCTGATTGTTGCCCAAAGGCGAGCCGACGCTCAAAGCAGTCATAGCCGTGGGGTCCGGAAATTGGAGGTAGGATGGCAGGGAAAAGGGCGATGGGGAACCGGCAAGGGAGCGGCCATTCTGGTAGGCTGATGCGAGCTTTGGGCATCAAAATTAGGCTGCACCCGCTCCCAGCCCAACCACATTGATCCGGACTGCTGCCCACTTAGATCAAGGCATCGGCCACACGCGATTGGAAACATTCATGCGGCCAGAAGCAAGTGACAAGGGATTCAGTCGAGGCCCGCGTCCGAGGCAGGCAGGCAGGCAGATATCATCGAGCTTCGCTGAGACAGACGTTGCAAGTCTGGGGTAGAATCGGCTAACCCGGCTGAATTCCTACAGAACAACATGAACCTAGTAGACTCGTGCTAGCAGGAGGAGGCAGCTCCCGGCTTTCACGTTGGCTGAGGTGTATGCATGTCGTTCGCACGCACATCCTATGAGATGAGAGAACCTAGGTCTAGGAGGAGGGGAGAAGGATGGAGGAGAAATGCCAGGCAGTAGTGCTGGTACGGGTAGTTCAGGTAGTTCAGGTAGTTAGTGCTAGGGGAGAGCTCAGAGCTAGGTACAGCAAGCTCGGAGCTGGTCGATTGGGCAATTGGGATTGAAGCTGGATCGGGGATAAGCGAGGACGCGCGACAAGGTCTGGTCAAGGACATGGATGAACCCGTTCATGGGTTATACAAAAATCGATCGCAATTTCTCGACGGCCTCTAGAACCTGCTGGGTACCGGGAGCAAACGAATCGACTAACACCAATCCAGGTGCTCTGCAAGGTACCAGGCATGTACTGTGCTGTACTTCGTACTGACGGCATCTCTGCCATGTGCTTGGGATGACTTCAACTTCGTACGACTACGTGAACATACATAATTTACCAATTAATTACTTCAGTTTCGGCTCACGGAGCGGATAGCTGGTCTACTCTACCAGTACCTTGCAGAAGAGAGGAGAGCTCGAGATTTGTCTTAGTGCATTGCTTGCTCACTGCAGTGCGTGGGCACGGTTTCTACTAATGGCAGCACCCGAAGGTAAGATGGCTTCATGCCGCATTGAACTACCCGAATTGCAGAATACGAGCATCACTACCTACGAGTACGTCCACATGTCACACGGAGCACGAGCCCGAGCACTATCCGAGACATGTTATTCTAGAAATCTTGGCCAATGCAAATGAGGAGCCAGACAATACGAATCAACCAGTTAGTACAGGTAAAACCTTGACAGCAGGTCTCAATCAACCGCCCCGGTTACATCCGCCAAACCTTGTTTTCGGTGTGGAGCGCCGGACGAGGTGGATCCAACTTCAAACGATCGGCGGCCTGGGCAGCAAGGGATTCAAAGAGAGAGCACTTGATTTCAGCTCTCCGTATAAAACGGAGTTTGCTAGTGTGTGATTCCAGGTGAAGGCACACTCGTAATGGATGTGGCTCAGCAACCTGTTCGCAACCAAGACCAGAATAGCAATAGTCCAGGGATGCTGAGTATGAAGCTGATAGAATAGAAGGATCGGCATGAACGGGAAAACAACCGCTTGGCTGTAGTTAAATTGGGTAGCCACTTCATCTACCCATTACAATCACGCCAAGCTGCCCAATGGGCTGATTCCAGCGCTTCCAAGAAAGAAGAAAAGAAAAGAGAGCACCCATCTGATGGTATTGTACAGAGTACGGAGTAGTTTTAGGCATCATAGAAGATTCTATGAAGCAACTGTAAAATTGTCTGGGCATCCATCGAATGCCCAATTCGCCCGTGTCCGGTGTGAAGCTGGCGATCCAATATTCCCGTGGATGAAACCGAGCATGCTTATGCTCACAGCGCTTGCTGCATTTCTGCTAGGCGGAATGTATTATGGCAACAAAGAGATCCGATAGGGCCTTTATTTCATCTGCTGTTTCATCTGGCGATGAACCGTCCTGCCTTTGTTACAGGGCGCTTATGGGGGAAAGGCTCAGCCTATCCCATCGAAATGGAACCGTAGGGCCGGAAAGACGCAGGAATCGCACTGTTGCTATTGGGAATAGCATCCTTTTCCATGGAAATCCGGAGGCAGCTACAAACCCTTTCGTCCGGCTGGATTAGCATGTAGTTTCAATGATGGATTTGATTTCCAGGAATTCATGCTGAGAACGTATATCGTCGGCGTGTTTTGTTTCTCCTCGATTTCAGAGAGGGGGAGAGGATGGTTCAGATAGGAAGTGGGTAGATAACGCTGGATTAGCTAATCCAGCCTCGTGGGCGGTCTCGACTTTGTATCAACTTCAGCCATGCATATCCAACCCGTCTCGTCAGCTTCTCTTTTATTTGAATGGCTCACCTGGCACCGCACGGTGACGAAATGGCTGAACGAGTGCATAAAATCGTTTCTGCGTGACCATGACCGCGGCTCTTTATTCGTCTGCAACGCTCCCTGCCTGCATGCCAGCGCATCTCGTCTGGCGACATTCTGGCCGCTCGTGCTGATAACCCCGCTTCCAAGACTCTCTAAGCGTCCAACGAGAGGCCCGAGATGCCCTCAAGTGGTCCACCATGTCACAGCTTCACCATGTCGAGAGCAAATGGATGGCCAGCGTGTGGTTCGCTTGACACGACCTTCGACAGCGTGTACAACGCATGGGCTGATTTAGCTGCTCTTGGTGCGGCTTCCGGCTACAGCGGATCGCGCTCTCGTTTTCACGAGGAAAACACCACACCCGAGTTGTTTTCTTCGCTCGGGGGTGGTCCGAGACGACTACTACCTGGACCACGCCTAGCACTGCTAGCTACTGACTAGGGATATTTTCAGCCGTTCTACTCTGAACAAGCGCCCGTACAGTTCTAATGGGACTGGCAATTTAACGGCAACGAGCACAAGCAGTTGCTTCACAGCCCGTCTCTTTGCTCGAGTTTTCTTTCTTCTGCGGCGAGGCAATATATGACCAACAAAACAGCCGCAGCGTCGCCTCACCGACCGGCTCCGCCCTGCAGCTACAGATATCAAGGAGAAAATTTTTCGTTGGTGCCCGCCTACTCGACAAAACTGCACTGCTGTGTTGTCCTGCAGCCATCATCACTACTCATCACATTGCACGACGGCGCTCGTCATTGATAGGACCCTGGTAGACCTCCTGCTCCACTAGGTCCATTCAACGGCCAAGGAAGAGGCCCGGTCAGCGCCAGCACACCATGCAGGCCCCTGTAAAACGAGCCTATCATGCCTTCATCATGTCGCGCCAGCGCACTCCTGCGGCCAGCACAGAGGCCGTTCCGGCGGCCGTCTATTGGCACGCGGAGTGGTGAGACATCCTGGCAGCGGGGGTGTTGATTCTGTTCTGATCGGGAGTCAGACTGGACCGCAACGATAAAACCCGCAGGGCCCCCTCGTTGCCCAACGTTCTCTCTTGATTCTTCTTTCAGCCCAACGGTTTCTGCCCAAAACATCCTTGAATCCCTCAAGACCGCCTTTTCGCTACTCAATTGTATCCACTTGCAAGCCCCCATCTCATCAGTCAGCCGACGGGAACTGCAAGCCATTCCAAGGAACCGTTTTTTGCCTCCTACATCACTTCGATCTTCACCGTCAACTTATTCCAGGTTGACCTGCCGGATCTCCCATCCAGGGCCTGTTCACAGATTCCATCCGGGATACAATGACAGTTGCTCTTGTGCCTCACCAGGCCACCATGCCTAACTACAACAATGTTGACCTTAATGAGGTCTCTTCGCTGCCCAGGTACTGTTTTCTTTATGCTCAGGATATTGCGTGTTTTTGTTTCTTTTGCTTTTGATCGGTTTGCTTTGTTTGTTTCATATGTTGAGCGAAAATCATGTACATTTCTTTTCTCTGTCAGCATTGTCTTGCCGCCATGAAACCAGCCACAGGATACGTCCCGGATGCCAAAAAGCCATGGAATAGCCACGCGGACCTTCTCACACGGAACACAAATCTTTTGGAACAGGACTTGTCCAGCCGGGCAAGGAAACAAATAAGAAATCAATGATATATATACTTTTTTGGCCTTGTGCCAGCGGTGAGTACGGCCCGCCATTTGAATTGAAGCGACAGGTTCTCGACACCTTCCATTGGCCAAATGTTTGCGTGAGCCACGTGTATACTGCGGAGAACCAACGGAGCCCAAGTAACTTCTGGACCGGACCATTGAGCGAAATCGCGGACCTGCTTTTCTGGATCTCGGGATTACCCTTCACCGCACGACTACGATTGTACAGCTGGCAATAAGCGGTCTACACGTGGACCTGAACGAAATGCAGTTTTATTTGACTGCGAACGCAAACTTGCAGAAGCGGATCTTTGACAACTGGCCTTACTCTGAGCTGGACCTGCTTCACCGACTCCAGAACAAATGGATCCCTCGACTCACGTGTCTGGACCTTGTTGGCCTTTCGACTCGAATTGTATGTGCGACTGAATTTTCTTGTTAGCTTTGTTTCAATTGCGCTGCCTTTTGTTCTCCTTTGGCCTACCTAGCCTGGAATCACAAATGTCGAACCAGAAGACCTTGACCTGGAGCACTGGATACGCCAACACTTTCGCACCATTGGAGCTGGAGCCCATTATGCACACTAGTCGTGGACTTATGAGGACTTGCTGTCAGAATGACTGCCTCTTTTTTCAATATGGCTCGGTTTGTGTGACCATGTAACCCCCAATATACCATCCGCCCAGCTTACTAACCCCCAATTGTAGGATCAAAGTTGACTCCCAATGCCAAGTTTTAACTTTCTTTTTATGTTGTGCAATTTTGGTAGTGGTGAGAACAGCACACTAACCTGACTTAGCGACTTCAGCTACCCCCAGTCATCCATGGCCTCGACTGCCCCTGCCATGTTTTCTTTTTCTCACACAGAACCATCGGCGGACCATATGAATGGTTCGTCATGGGGTGCAAACACAGAAGGGCCACAGACCTTACATGATTACCCGGACAATGGATCATCGCACTCAGGAGATGCCGAGGAATTTCTTTTCACATCTGGTCATAACTCACCTAGGGGACCAAGACTTGATCAGGCCCAACCTGCTGATGTGGCATGGACCGCCGCTCCCAAGGCAGTCATGTCCATCGCCTCCGGAGCCCAGGCTATGTCTCGAGCTAGCTCGAGCCGCTCCCACGTCTCTGCTGTCTCACAGACACAGATGTCTAATATGAGTGTTAGAGGTAATGCACAAGTTTTCCGGAGTGGACCTCAATCTACTGGCTCCATGGCCGGAATGGATTCCTGTCTGTTGCTGGACTCAGATGCCCACGGTGTTCAATCCCAAATGTACCCCTGGCACGACTACTCTCTCGAAATGAACCTTGGCGCCGAAAACGTTGCTTTCCCTGTCCCCAACATGAACCCCCTCCATTTGGTTCCTTCACAGATGCACCTTGCCAATGATGCCATTCCAGATACGTCATCCCCCAGCAACTGGGACTGCTTTTCTAGCTCCATCTCCAGAACTTCCTCCCCTGCCACTATTGATGAAGCATGGCAAGCTGCTCCTTTTAGCCCTGAAACCTCCCCCGAAACTTGCCCATCACCTAGGTATGTTATCTTCCAAGCTGAGGATGAACAATCTTCTTACCGGCTTGGTTCGTCTAGAGACAGAAAATTCCACATGATGACGGAGCACAACGTCTCCCAGTTGGAGGATACCTCCGCTCTTCCTCAAGCCTACACTGCCCGCCGACAGGGAAGTGAGGGAGAGTCTGCTAGAGATCATGCCTTGTACAAGAACGTTTCTCCCCGGGAGGACGGTCTCTTTCACTGCCCCTGGGAAGGCCAGCCAAACTGCAACCACAGGCCCGAGAAGCTTAAGTGCAACTATGAGTAAGTTGGATCAACCCGCATCTCATTCTCTCTCTCTGTTTTTCCTCGGAAAAGCTAACACTCATTGTAGCAAGTTTGTTGACTCTCACTTGAAGCCCTACCGCTGCAAGGCTGAGGCTTGCGAGGGTGCCAGGTTTTCTTCCACTGCCTGCCTTCTTCGTCACGAGCGTGAAGCCCATGGTCTGCACGGCCACGGCGATAAGCCTTTCCTTTGCATGTATGAAGGTTGTGAGCGATCCATTCTTGGCAGCGGATTCCCGCGTCAGTGGAACCTTCGGGACCACATGAAGCGAGTTCACAATGACCACGGTAGCGCTGGTGCCTCCCCTACTGGGGCTGCTCAGCAGGCTACTAAGGGACGAAAGCGCAAGTCAGACGCTGAAGCCCAAGGCTCTCCCAGCCGCAAGGCCTCGATCAAGTCGATGCCGGCCCCAGAGCCCAAGCAGCCTCCTGTCAAGCCTCTTATCGAACAGTGGCTGGAACAGCGCAAGGCATTGGAGGAGTTTGTTCAGCGCATGGACAAGCCCGATCTCCAGAGCCTTCAGCACATTGCGGAGGCCCAGAAGCGTCTTGAGATTATGACCAAGATGGCTACTGATGCGACCACCGTCGTCCCCAAGACGGAGATGCAATCTGGTCGCCGATACTTTTAAGGTGTTGATGCAAGTTGGTGATTCTCTCGTTTATATTACGCCGCACCAGCGGGTTTTTTCTATGTCTATATACATACACAGGACGGCCGCTCGCGTCTTCAAAAGACGCTGAGCTCACCGGGAAATGACTCCCAAGGGACGTCCCGCGAGTAACAGTCTCGCAGAGTGGGTAACGTCCATCACGGGCTGCTAAGCCGAGCAGAACGGCGTTGGCTATACGCACCACAAAATCCCTCTCAGAGAAGGGCTGTTGGACCAGGGTTTTTCTTCATGTTACTTCAGTTTTTCTTATTATGGATGGATCAAAAGCATCGTACTTGTTCTGGTTTGAACATTAAAAGTATTGGGTTTGGAAAGGAATGGAAGGGTTTGGAAAGGTTTGGAAAGGATAAACAGCGTTTCTGTTCTATTTTTCTTTTGATTTGTTTTGTCAATACCCACGATTTATGACCTTGTTTAGATTTTAGATGCTTGTTTTTTGAGCATGCACCATTCGCTCAACCAGTTTCGACTGGCAGTTGTTTCCTTAGTTTAGCTTTTTACTTTGAATATGTTTTCATTGTTTTATGAATGAATATTGAGCAATATTACTGGCAGACCCGACTTCCTCCGCATCCTCCAATGTTATGTGATTGATTTGAATTGACCCCGACTCTGTCGTACTTACTCATATATGCGTTGACGACTCTGCTTGCTACTGGTCTTCCGGCTCGCCAAGACAACCATTAGGCATCAAGTTGATGCAGTTACATCTCATGCTGCTGATGATTGGATCAATGCCCTGTACAATGCTAAGTGTATACTGTGTTGTCTCACGAACTACATAGTCTCATTGCTTCCATGGATTGATTAATGAAGAAGCATGAGTTAGTTGTAACTGTGTTAGATGGTGGGTATAAAGGGATGTTGATTTTACGTCGTGTGTTAGGGTAGCTTGGAAGGGGATATGGGAGTGAATTCAGAGGGAGGGAGGAAAAGGATGTGGACGGTGATGTAGATATAAAGGTAGTTATTCATGACGTTCAAACTCTAGATACACTTATTGAACTGTATGCGAGCTTGATTGAAGCCTCATCACTGGCGTTTTCAGTGCATCATAAAGTATAGGTATGTACTGTTACTGCTTAGGTACCTATATGTATCCATGCAAGCATCATCAAAGAGATAAGGTAGATGCTAGGTAGATGAGCGCATTATGAGTCCATTAACTATCCAACAGGCCCCCTATACTTCAAGTCGGCAGATATTCATCAGCTATATGGCCACCAGGCACATGATGCTCGCATTCCAGCAACAAGTCGGGTAGAGCTGAGACAGCCGATCGTGGGGCCGAAGCCAGCCAACGAAGTCTGCCGGATTTCGGCGCATTTGCGGCATAAAGCTAACGGAAGTGGAAAGCTTCCTGATGCTCGATTTACCCCTCCATCCATCCCAGCTGCATTTTCCCATCCTCACCTAACAACACCAACGAGCTTCACCTCTTAGATTGCTGTTTTGGCATTGAACATCTGCTTTATTTTTAGTACTACCAACTTATAATACAGTCATCATGGCTCGCAAGTTCTTCGTCGGCGGCAACTTCAAGATGTGAGTTTTATTCATTCTTTCTTCTTTTTTTTTTATCGAACCATCTCCCCGCCCCTCTTCAAAACAACGCAGAGCTTGGGCACGGAGAATTGGAAGCAGAGCGAGGCTAATTGATGCCTGATATCAGGAACGGGTCCATCTCGTCCATCAAGGAGATTGTCGAGAACCTGAACAAGGCTACTCTCGACCCCAATGTCGGTAAGTGCTCGCCCAATGTCCCTTGGCGGTAGCTCAGCCGCAGTCGAGAGATTCCGATCGTTCTAACCACCTTATTCTTTTCGCTCTAGAGGTCGTCATCTCTCCTTCCTACCTGCATCTCCTCCTCGTCCGCGAGAACCTCCGCGAGGGCCTCGAAGTTGCCTCCCAGAACGTCTACGACAAGCCCAATGGCGCTTTCACCGGCGAAGTCTCCGTCTCGCAGCTGAAGGACAGCGGCATCAACTGGACCATCCTGGGCCACTCCGAGCGCCGCACCATCCTCCGTGAGAGCGACGAGGTTGTCGCCCTCAAGACCAAGTACGCCACCGAGAACGGCGTCAGTGTGATCTGGTGCTGCGGAGAGTCCCTGGAGGAGCGTGAGGCCGGCAAGACCATCGATGTCGTCAGCAAACAGCTCGCCGCTCTCAAAGCCCAGATCTCCGACTGGTCTAAGATCGTCATCGCCTATGAGCCCATCTGGGCCATTGGCACTGGCAAGGTTGCCACTACTGAGCAAGCTCAGGAGGTCCACAAGGCCATCCGAGAGTGGCTCAAGGCCAACGTTAGCGACAAGGTCGCTGACGAGACCCGTATCCTCTACGGCGGCAGCGTCAACGAGAAGAACTGCGGCGAGCTCAGCAAGCAGGCCGATATTGACGGCTTCCTCGTCGGCGGTGCTTCCCTCAAGCCTGCCTGTAAGTCGAAGAATCCCGACTAATCATCAAATTTGCCTTCATGCTAACTTTTCTTCAGTTGTCGACATCATCAACTGCCTGAAGCAGTAAATGGGTTCTCATATATAGGGAAAACAGAACTCGGTAGAAAAATAAAATTGTGCTGCGGAAAGGAATAAAAAAGGCAATGAGGCTTCTCACGGAGAATAGAAACCATAAAATATACCCAAGTCTCTCCATATGATTGGACTGATTTTACATCTGTGAAGGCATCATTGCTCATTTATAGCGTAGTGTCCTATAATGTTCCAGCAACCTAGTACCAGTGCTTCTCTATGCGGTTCATCTAAATACAAATACACGGACATCATACATAAAACCCATCATGAAAAATTCGCTCAAATTATACAGCCATACCCTTGCCGTGGTACGGAGACCAGATACCTCTAACACTTGGCTTGGTGCTGAGAACAGCCTTGTTCGTCCGCCTCAGCTTCTCTCCACTGGCATCTCTCAACAGTTCCACCTTTTGAAGAATCTCGTACGGCGAGAGGTTGCGCACACAGATGGGCTTTGTCCGTCCGTTGATGTAGTGGCCGATGATGACGGGATGCTTGCCGGGTCGTGGGGAAACGGCAAACTCGATCTGTGGGTTGGCGGTTGCGAACTTGGGGAGCAGTGACTTGATGAAGCCGCTATGGATTTCGTCAGCAGATATTTTCCAATTAACCCTTGACACATTCATATTGCCTACTTCATGCCCCTGGAGCTGCCCGCCCAGTCGCAGTAGTGGAAGTCCAGTTTCTTGCACTGAAGGACAAACGCCCCCAGGCCATTCTGGTGTTCGCTGTTAGTCTTTTGTCGTCAAGTAGAAATGTAAATGGACTGCGTACCTTGCCATCTGCAATGACTCGTAGCGCCTTGACCGTCATCTTGGATGTGATGTGAATATTCCAGCCAGTATTCTCATGATCCAGCTCGCAACATGCTTAGCGCAGCATCAAAATTCAATCAGTTCACTTCGACACCCGTCCTGATTGGGACTAGCCTCATCCGGCACAGCTCCGGCAAAACTGTGTCCCAGGCATCGCCTGAGCTACACGACAATTTATTGCTGCCAGAAGCGCGCAGCTTGTCTCGCATTCGCACTCTCTCGCCGCAAGCAATCAGCCGCAGCAGGGCATCTCCATCTGTGAACGCCAGAGCCCGCGGCCTCTCCAGCAAGCGACATCTGCATTTTCTGTGCATCTCTGATTGATTGCAGCCGCCGCGATTCGCCTGTTCCTTCGCCATGACCGACAAGCTCCCCCCTAACTTGTTGGCGCTCTTTGCCGCGCGACCGCCGCTGCGATGGGTAGAACCCTCTGACCATGCGCCTGAGAAGCGCAGGACAGCTCCCATTGGTGGCCTCGCCGCTTATCTGCCCGAGCTGCAGAAGTACAAGGAGACGGATGACTATAAGCCCACCGAGAGCTGGCTGGAGATGCGCGATCGGAAAAAGCGAGAGCAGAAGGAGGCTGCTGCAAGTTTGGTGACCGAAGGACCAAAACAATGTAAGGATGGATGCCTCGACTGAGCGAACCTAGCATCTCCTTGTCGCGTGACTAACCTGAGCTGATAGTTAAACCCAACGAGGATCCCAATATCCGTGGCGATGCCTTCAAGACTCTCATCGTTGCCCGTCTCAGCTACGACGCTGACGAGCGTGATTTGGAAAGGGAGTTTGGACGGTTTGGTCCCATTGAACGTGTTCGTATTCTCCCACTGTCATGCGGTGCATCTTCTCTGCACATATACCGGACGCTAAAGCTGACTTGCCACAACAGATTCGCATTATTGTTGATACCCATGCCCACGAGAAGCCTAATAAGAAGAAGAAGCCACACAGGGGTTATGCATTTGTCGTTTTTGAGCGCGAGAAAGACATGAGAGGTAAACAAACCCCAAAACCCTTCCATGCTATATGACCATCCAATCCAATCCCGGTGGATGTACCTCGAAGATGTGGCCCTCAAGCTTGCCCATCCGTAGAAGCATACCACGAGACGTTCACAAGGCCCTCAAGCTTGCCTGTCTCACTCTTGCCCGCTTTTTTTTTTTCCAAATCGTGAATATCTTTTCTATGGTAAGAGTTGCTAACATTGGCGTCTGATGACGCAACGATGAATAGCTGCCCTGGATGCGTGCGATGGTATTCGCATTAAAGACAGGCGCATCAAGGTGGACGTTGAACGCGGCAGGACTGCCAAGAACTGGCTGCCTCGCAGGTTAGGTGGTGGCCTCGGTGGCCGAGGCTATACTAGAGCAATGCCCTCTCGCCCTGGTGGCCCTGGAGGCTTTGGAGGAGGAGGCGGCGGAGGCGGCGGCGGCTTCCGTGGCGGCTTCAAGGGAGGATTCGAGGGTGGCCGAGGTGGCCGAGGCGGTTTCCGTGGAGGCTTTGGTGGTGGCCGTGGAGGTTTCCGAGGAGGCGGTGACTTTGGCCCCCGAGGAGGCGACCGAAACGGCGGTTTTGGAGCGCCCAACGGAGCCCCATCCGGTCCTGGAGGATTCGACCGACGAAATGGAGGTGACAGGGGCTTCTCCGGTGGTGGGTATGAGTCTCGTGGTGGACGCTCATATGATGATAGATCCGGCGGTCACCGAGATGGCGGCGGTCGATATGGTGATCGTGATCGTGGCGACCGCGGTGACCGCGATCGTGACCGAGAACGTGGTGACCGAGGTGACCGTGGCGACCGAGACCGCGAAGGACGCCGTACTGGCAGTAACATGGAACCCATTGGCCGCAGAGAAGGTGGGAATCGTGACAGGGACAGGGACTACGATCGCCCTCGCGACGATGACAGCCGGAAACGAGGATACGAAGGCGGTGGCTACGAAGATCCCCGGAAACTGCGTCGCTACTAAGGCTGGAGCCCGTGCAAGTCGACTCAACTTTCGACATTTGGTGGGTAAACTAATTGTTTGACGAGTTTCCTTCGCATCCTTTCTTTCACCTCACAAGGGTAAGAAGCCTGCCGTCTTCCACCAGCACAATCTCAGACCTAAGGATCGCCTCCCTCTACCCACCTTTTACCATCGTACACTTGTCTTCCTAAGCTAGTAGCCCATGAATCTTGGACCTATGGGTAATAACTTCCCTTTGTCTTGTTTCCTGTGGCTGGAGACCATCACTATCAATAACTGAGCGCCAATCAACTGTCAATAATGGACAGGAATCACTTAATAATAGGGACGAAGACGAGAAGTGTTCTTCTCGCAATGTATTATAGCACATTTGGCAGGGAAAACAGCTTGAATTTCGGGAGCTTCAGGTAAGGTCATAGGTGAGCTCTTGTGACCGACTGATTGCAATTATGGAGGCAATTTGCTTTCTTTCTTTGCGACAGGGGAGTTTCTAAGGACTTTTAACCAGCAAAAGAGTAAAAGAAGAAGAAAAAAAATTAGGGGAAAAAAAGAGAACATAGTTTATATGCCCTTTGATGTGTATTTGTATCAATGCGCGAGCGAGAGCGTAGATAAAAAAAAACTCTTGAAACAGCACTAGCGAAAGACTCTTGAGACGCAGAATTATTTTTTGCTTGATCATCATTTCAGGAGCATAAGCATGTATATATCATGTAAGTATGTCCTCCATCTTTTTGAAACCCTGTGAAGAACCTTGGAACGCCGAAATACCCAAAACAACCCGTTGCTGGTATATGTTGTATGCGCACAGAACATTTCTACCAAAAACTACAGCCACCAAATACTGGCCAGATGCCTTACTTCTCCTCCTCGACGCCATCCATGGCGGCCTGGTCAATCTCTGTTACCTCGTTGGTCGCAGAGCTCCAGTATCTATTGGATTATTAGCCGACAATGCCACTTGGTGGTGCGTAAATATGTAAAGAGGAGAGAAGCAGAAAACTTACGCCAAAACCTTGACTCTGAACTCGCTCAGGCAGACATCAAAGAGCTTCAACAGCCTAGTCTGCCGTGAATCGAGCACCTCACCCTCCTTGCAGATCGTATAACCCTCACCCTCACCATTCTCATCACCCAGAACGACCTTGCCCTTGACCATTCTCGTAGGGACGCCCAGTCTCCGCAGCTCGGGCTCAATGGTGTGCTGCAGCGGGATATCGTTCTCCTTGGGGACCTCGCCGGCCGTGGCGTACACGACGCCGGGAGGGATGGTGAAGGTGCGGGAGGCGGTGACGCCGGCGCGGGCAAAGTCCACGGGGGAGATGCTGTTGAGGTAGTCGAGGACGGTGTCCACGGGACGGTTGGTCAGGAGGAGGCCGACGGTGCCAGCGATGTGCGGTGCGAGGCCCTCGATGCCGGGGACGATGGCTTCCTCGGCGGTTTGGCCGAGGGCCTTGGCCATGAGTTTTGTCTTGCCGAAGAAGAGTCTGTTTACCCAAGCCAATTCGTTAGCTATCATGAAAGGGGGGGGGGTTTCCCACTTGGCATCATCTTTAAATGGGTAGAGAGGTGCAAACGTACCGGCTGTCGGAGAGCTCGCGGCGCACATCCTTGAGGTAGTTGTTGCGCATGTTATCCACATTGAAGACGATGCAGTGCTGGTACTCGGGGACCTGCTCCCGAATGTTTTGGAACAGCTGGTCCTTTTGCTCACGGGTCTTTTTGGCGACCTGGGTGAGGTGGACGACCTTCGATCGCTTGGACTTGGGCATTTTGTCGGCTGAAAAGGACGCTGCTGAAATAAATTAAACCAGAAATGCGGGTAATTGAAGAAGAGATAAAAAAGGTAAATCTGAGGGGAAGTAGAGGGGGAAGCGAATTGGCTATTTGGAGGTTGTTGCAAAAGCTCGCAAGTCGTCCGAGGTTGTGGTTTGGGGTTCTTTTTTTTTTTTTTTTTTTTGGCCCTTGAGATTTTTGGCTGGCGATAAGATTGCAAGAAATTTTATCAAGGTGGACTTAAAAAAAATCCAGGTGTGCGGAAACACCCCGCATTGCTCACCGAGAATTTGACTAGGGACGGGATCTGGGTGCGTGCAGTTGTTTTTTTAAGGTGGTATTTATTACTGGGTAGGTAATACTGGGGTATATTTGATGCAAATTCGACAACTACTATCGATATTTGCTGCTGAATGAGGTGAAAATTAGAGAATTAATACGTTAATAGTACTGAGCGTGTATGATTGTGTCTACGCGTGGAATTGACTCTGTTATTGTAGTTAGTTGCATTGGTTGACGCTTGAGTCTTCTTACTTTACAACACAAGACATTGCATTACCAGTCTCATGCCCCTTCAACGACGTCTTTACGTCAGAATTCTTCTCTTCTATCTTATATTACACCATTAGCTGAACGTCATTTCACTATCTCATTCACCGGTCGAGAAGCGAGCCAAAGGCGATGCACTTCTGCTTGGCAAGCGCCAGTCTAGTCGCCCTTTGCTTTTGCCTTCATCTCGCTCCCGCATCCTAGACTGAGACTTGCATGGTGGGACCAGGATGGCTGCGGACTATTACAAGTCCTAGTCTGACTGTCGTCCATGCCGTACGTAATACTAGGAGCTGTGATGCGCTGTGTCTCATGCAAGGGGCTGCCAACAAAGCATTGAGAGGCTGAAATGTTTGGCTGTTACTTGTTGGCCTCCCAAGGCCATCCCGGCACGTTGCATTTCCCAATCTTGAAGGAAGCCATTGCTCCTTTCAACCACGAGAGACAACAGCCGTCATCTCGCCACACTCTTCCACAGCCTCTATATAGACCAACGAAAAGTTTCCAAAAACAAAAAGACAACGTAAGACGCACCCGTGCATGATGTGATGCGTCCACTAGCACGTAAATCTGCACATCCAAGGCAAAAGCAGCCCGCGAAAAGTCCCCCCCGCGATACTAATTCCGTTCCGATGGGCGACTTGCGCACGGGCCATGCGGCGTTAGGCGACTGACCCCAACCAAGTGCCTATTTTTTCCTTCTCCCACGCACGAAACATCATAACGGCAACTTCAAAAGAAGCTCCGAATTCTTTTTCTCTCCTGCACCCGTGCAGCCCATCGCCTCTTCTCCCCCTTTTCTCCTTCCATCGCCCACGGCCTCGCCACCCCGAACAGAAATCACCACTTCACCCGTGAGCTTCGCCAGCTTCTGTATCCATTGGACTCGCCCCGTTCCGGTTCGCAATTCCCCTCCCACTTGTGCATCGATTTGTTTGTCATCCCACAAGTGCCCGCAGCTCCTCCACTCGAATCGCCTCAAACTTTTTCCCCTCCTTGTCGATCATCGAACAATTGTTTTCTCTTGGACTAGCATTCAGCTTGTGTGTCGAGACGGTCATTTTCTACTCGTTAATTCTTCTCTTTGTTCCTGGATTGCGTTGATACCCAACTTCGACGTGATCGCTGCCCCACGATAAAACTTCAATTTCCCCACGCCGTTGGATCTCTCGAACATCACTTTTTTCTCTCCTTTTTTTTTTGGCCCGGCTCTATCCTCCAATCATGGCTACCAACGGATCATTCGACCAGCCCGCGGTTACAGCAGGCCCTGCTGATACGAGCGCTTCTGGAAACAATCTTTCCAAGGATGAGGTTGGCTGGTACTTTGTTGAGCAATACTACACCACTCTGAGCAAGTCGCCTGAAAAGCTGCATGTGAGTTCATATCCGATTCTTCCTGGTGACATCCTTGCGATACTAAGACGAATTTTTACATAGCTGTTCTACGGCAAACGATCTCAATTTGTGTCTGGTCTCGAGGCTGAGGTTGCCAACGTCTCTGTTGGTCGTCAGGTAATGGCTTTTGTTTATTTTTTCCCCCTCTCCACCCACTAAATAACCTAAGCTAATTATGTGCCATGTAGCCGATCCAAGAGCGTATCAAGCAGCTCGACTTCCAAGACTGCAAGGTCCGAGTCTCCAATGTCGATTCCCAAGCTTCATTTGACAACATTGTCATCCAAGTCATCGGCGAAATCTCGAACAAGTCCGGAGAACCCAAGAAATTCGTGCAGACTTTCGTTCTCGCCCAGCAACCTTCCGGCTACTTTGTCCTTAATGACATCCTGAGGTACATCAGCGAAGATGAGGAGGAACAGCCTGCTGCTGAAGCCGAGCTAGAGGCCCCTGCTGCCGAGCCTGAAGTGGCTGCTCCAGAGGTCCCTGCTCCTGTCGAGCCTGAGTCCGTTGAGGAGGAGGCCAAGGTGGAAGCTGTCCATGTTGACGAGGTGGACCAGAAGCTCCAGGAGGCTTCCAAGGTCAATGGTACTGATGCTGAGGAACCTGTCGTTGCTGCCGAGGTCGCCGAGGCTGAGCCGGAGAAACCCGCCCCGATCGATGCTGAGACTGCCGCCAAGGAGGTCGCTGAGGAAGAGGCTAAGGAGGTCGCTGAGCTTCCCAAGGAGCCCAGCCCTACTCCCGCCGCCAAGGCTGCTCCTCAACCTGAGCTCGCTCCTGCTAAGCCCGCTGCTCCTGCTAAGCCGATGACTTGGGCTAGCCGTGCCGCTGCCGCTGCCGGCCCGCGACCTGTTGTCCCTCTGCCCAAGACTGCCACTCCTCCCGCTGCCGAGCAGAACAAGGGTCCTGCTCCCGCAGCTGCCCCTGTGGCCGCTCAACCCGCTGCTGCTGCTGCTCCGGCAGCTACTCCTGCTGCTACCTCTGCTACCGCTGCTCCCGCCGCTGATGCTGCTAAGGAGGCTTCTGGATGGCAGACTGCCGGCGCCGATTCCAAGCGCCAAAACCGACCCCAGTCTATTTCTGCCAATGCAGCCGAGAAGGAGGGCACAATGGGTTATGTCAAGTACGTCACCGAGAAGGTCCAGGATGCTGATCTTCGGAGCGCATTGGCTGCTTTTGGCGAGCTGACCTACTTCGACATCAACCGTGCTAAGGTGAGTTTATTTTCCCAAACAACAATTGGACATGCTAGAATAGGCCTTACTGACTCACGTGCGTTTAGAACTGTGCCTTTGTGGAGTACAAGACTGTTGAGGGCTACCAGGCCGCTCTGGCCGGCAAGAACCTCACCGTTAACGGCGAGAACATTGTTGTCGAGCCACGACGACCCAAGACCAGCGCCTTTGCTGGTAACTTTGGCCCCGGCCGCAGTGCTTCGGGCCGTGGCCGTGGTGGTGCAGGTGGCCAGAATGCTAGAGGCAACTTTACCGGCCAGGTTCGCGGACGAGGTGGTGCTGCCCGTGGCCGCGGTGGTGCCCAAGTTGCCAATGCTTAGAGAGCACATGCCGCCTTAGGCGTTATATAAAAGAAACGTCGAGCGGTAAAGGGAGAAAAAGAAGAAGCGGTTGTTGCATCAATACCATACCCCGGCCAATAAGAGTCTAGTGGGATGGTAGTATGAAGATTTGCGAGAAACGGAAAACAAAACAGAATCTGCAGATGCCAGAACGGAAGCGGAGGAAGCTTGGAGATGGGACTGGATTCGACCCAGAGCCCTCCTAAAAGTTATCTGTTCTATTTTGGAGGTGGAGTATAAGCAAGCCCAGGCTGGCGTCTTATTTTTTTCATTTTTTCATCATTGTTTCATTTTTTTTTCTCATGGCATTGTTGGTATGGTTGCATCGATTCCTTGCGATCAGGGGACTCACGGACAGAAAATAATACCGGAGAGGTGGACCGTCTGGGGAGATTTGGAGGATCATTCGTGCTTTATGTATATTTCAAAGGGAAAAAGGGGGGGCTCTGGACATTGTTTCGGCTGCTGTCATCGGTGGGCGGAGCAGTCCTGGTTGGCATGGCGCATGGCGATGGGTGGTGATATTTTCCTATTTCCACTTGGGCCTGGTTGACGAAGACGTTCTGGCAGAATGTGCGATGGAAATGGAGAGATGTATATTAGGCAGTTAACGCAGGATGCAAATAAGGTATGCCATGACTTGATGGTGTTATGACTGCATTGGCCTGGCTTTACTTGAGTTGTTCTATTTGTTCTGTGTACTCTAGTAGTCGAAGTTGTGACTTGGAATTGCAAATGACATCAGTATAATGATTTCACCTAGACTTTGTTTTCTTAGTTCTCATCAAAATATGTATGATGGCCATGCTCTTCGACCTATCTTGATTTAAGATTGAGAGCGTTATTATCGTGGTGTAAGAAAGAATAATCTGAGCTGCAAATATGAAGCAGGGAGATGCCATAGCATCAGAGACTATGATTGCAAAGTTTGACAACTGTCTATTGATGAACCACATGTCTGAACATACTCGGCCTCTACAGCTCGGCGATAGAAGTGCTACCGGAAGATTACCGAAACACGGCTGCAGTTGTACAAGGTTGTGTATAGTACCTAGTAGATTTAATGCCTTCCTCATGAGTACGGACTGGAGGTATTCTTGGAAATGTTACCGTTACAGCCGACACCACAAACGTAGTACTGTGCTGTAATAAGCATAAAACATCAGACGAGGCGAAATCCGATGCAAATTTTTCTCGTTTCAGCTGGGTTTCTTTGCCGAATGGACATCCGTCTCTTGGCAACGAAAATGGTCGAAGTGCTTTGAAAGTCTCGTCGAGGTAAACGAAGAAGGCAACCCCCTTAACAAACGAACAGAGAACAGTTTGTCATATTTCGCTTCAAGGCTAGGTGTCTATCATACGATTATCCATATTACATGGCAACACCCAATTGCTACGATACGGCTGGTTTGCCCGAATTATAATGTTTCCTCCCGTTGAATGATGTCGGGGTATAAGAATACATGTAGGCTATAAGCGCATAGCGACGGAAGTGAAAGTGTAGGCGAAACAAAGGAAAGCTCGTGTCCAAGGAATCACACGAGGGTAGAATGAGAGAGTTACCTGGCATGCCGACGATTGATTGGATTTTGAAGCCTCGGAGACAATTAAAAACCTGCCCACTTGCTGCTGTACAATGCAGCCCCTACCTTGTAGCTATA